GGACCTGTATTAGAATAATATGTGTTTTTATGCAATTTTTGTCATTTTGGTTAAGAAAAAATCACTTGTATAATATTTAGTATTATATTTTGGTTCACACTAGAAATATTTTATATTTAATTTTTCAGTATTTTTCAGTATTTTGAATTCTTTTTACATTTTGAAAAAAACGTTTTGAACATATCGATGCAAAGATCTCCACTATTCTGAGACCCTCACAGTATTCCAGTCCCTTTTCAAAACTCATCTCTTCTCTTGTCTACTCATCATAGCCCCCCCCCATCAATCCATGCCGGTTGATCAACCTTCAATTGTATTGTAAAGCGATTTTGAGTCCTTGAAAAGCCCTATACAAATATAATCTATTATTATTATACTGACAGGTATCATATCTTGCTGTGTAAAATAATCTTCCTGAGAGGTGTCACTTGTGATGTAGTCTGTGTGGTCCACAGTGAATGTATTCCTGACAGTAACAGGTGATAAGAATCAAAGGTTCCCAGAGGATCCCATAGAAAATGCATGCGGGTCATTTTTGACCCACTTATGGAAGCTTGGGGTAGAAACACAAAAACTACAATTTCTTAAAATGTATACAATTTAAAATTTGAATGGCATGATATCCAAAACATGTTTTTTGAGGAATAGCTGGAATATGAAATGATAATAAAATGTAATTACAAAGATACTTCAAGAAAACCACCTCACCGGGTCAAGAAGACCCACTTATGCATCTAAGGCTTAAAATGTATCCACATATTATTTTTGACACAAGCATTTCATCCTTTTCAGTTGTTTTTTATTAAATCCATCAGAAATATCTCCAGATCTGGGAGTGGTGCTGCTGTGATGCTCAGCTCACTCTTAAAAGTCTTTAATCCTCTTGGAGTCAGTCAGGTGCTCCACAAACTCTGAACTCCGTCGTATTGATCCAAAGTAAGACATGAACCGAAATACTAAAGTCAACTCTAATATTGTACAACTCAATGGATCATAAAGATACTTTGACATTTCGCAGGCCAAACCCAGAGAGACATATTGCCATAATACCTCAAATGGGTGTTTTCTGCCTTAAATAAATGTAATGCTTGCATTCCATACAAAATGTGTTGCTAAAGAGGAAGACCACTCACCCTCATCATCCTCCTCCTCCTCCTCTTCATCACTGCTGAAGACGATCGCAGGTTTCTTGGACTTGCGAGATTTCTGAGGCGTCACAAAGCTGTCGTCGCATCGGCTGGAAACCGAGGGCTTCGCTTGACCTAAAACAAAACGGGAAGCAAAATCAAATTGTCACATAAAGATCTGTATGCGTATGTATACATCATGAAGGGGAAATGGACTGCGTTCATATAAAGCTTTTCCAGTCTTAACGACCCCTCAAAGTGCTTTTATGTTTACAAATCAGCATTCACACACAGGCTGTGTCACAAAGAGCCAAATGCATTCACACACCGACACATCATCAGAAGCATTTTGGTGTTCATTTTGTTATTTGAAATGTCGAGGCAAGGGTTGGGGATCCATCCACCGCCCTTCTGATTGGTGGACGACCACAGCAGCCCCTGAGAGTGAAACCCCATGAGCACTGACCTCTCTTTGACCTCTGCCGGCCCCTGGCTGCAGCTGTTCGAATGACCGTCTTCTCAGAGGGTCCTCCTTCCTTCTGGTTCTCCTCGTCCATCTCGGGACTCTCCACGTTCTCCAGCCCCCGCGTGTGAACTGCAGTCAGGCGCTTCTCAAACTCGTCCACCTGGGCCTGGAGGAAACAAACAGTGAACAAGGACATGACATCAAACTGAGCTGGAAAGGGAGAGAGGTTGCAAGAGAAGACGTTCAAAAATATATTCAAGGCTCTGAATATATTTTGCACATCTCTTTTGCAACTTCTTTCCCTTGAGCATGGCTCACAAAATGCTGTTCACATGGTGTGCATTCATTGAACCCATACTGTGTGTCTGACGCACCTTGAACAGGGCTTTGGCTCCGCGGCGCAGCTTGGCGGTGATGGAGAGCAGCGGCTGGTAGACGCCGGGCTCCGTCAGCTTGTCGCTGTAACACTCCCAGCACTCCTGCAGCCTCTTGAAGCCGCGCTCACACAAGGAGAGCAGAGACAGAGACACGGCCAGGTCGCACCACTGCCGCTCCGTCCTGAGGGGGGAGGGGGGGGTAAGCACAAGAGAGAGACGTGGACATTTAAAAAGGGCACCTATTATGCAAAATCCACTTCTTCATGTCTCTTCTACATCAACATGTGTCCCCTCTTCTTCATGTCTCTTCTACATCAACATGTGTCCCCTCTTCTTCATGTCTCTTCTACATCAACATGTGTCCCCTCTTCTTCATGTCTCTTCTACATCAACATGTGTCCCCTCTGTGGAAAGAGACTCTGAAAGTTTCAGGAACTAAGATTCTCTCTCTTTTTGTCCTGATCCATTTCTATAAAAACCTGTCTGAAAATGAGCTGATCAGATTTTGGCCACTTTATGATGTCATAACGATTTTGGCTTGTGTTACCATTAGCCAATCAGCAACCAAGGTTGTTATCAGCCAATTCTCCTCCTAGAGCACGGGCGTGGGGAGGGGCTCCTTATTTTCATCTAAAGTAACAGACAGAGAATCAGCACTTTGGAAACAGGGCTGAAACAGAGGGGATTATGGGTAATGCTGCAATGATCTGTTTGGTGTTTGGAGCCAAACACTTCAGAGACATGTTCTGTATATATCTGAGACCTGTAATATATTGGTGAGAAACAGAATCATTTAAAATGTGACTCCATCAATCTGAAGCTCGGCTGTTTCTGCAGGTTGACATCGACGAAGACACAGAGTACGAGGAGGAAGAGGAGCTGCCTATAGAAGATGGTCAGCCTCAACACATTTGTTTACCCTTTTTAAATGTATTTCTATGGTGTTGGTGATGTATGATGTGTGTGTTTCTGTTTGAACCATCATCATAATCTATAGTCCAGGCAACCAGATGATGGTTGGCCCACTCTTGTATATTTACAGAGCAGTTAAT